GGGTTTCTCCATGTTGGTCAGGCTGGTCTCGAACTCCTGACCTCAGGTGATCCGCCCACCTTAGCCTCTCACAGTGCTGGGATTACAGGCGTGAGCCACCGTGCCCGGCCAGTGTTAACTATAATATCCTGTTTGTTTCACTGAGTCTTCCTTTAGCATTGTAGAATAGTAGATACCCACTAGGGTCTTTTCTGAGAACTATGTGTTTCGTTGGTAGGTAGGGCAAGGTCACTCATACAGCTGTTTTGACTATGTGACCCTTATCCACCTAGCCATGGCTGATGGGACCTGGGACTTTATGGGAACTGGGCCAATCAGATCTTCTTTCTCGTGAATACAAATTTACCCCCAGTGACACTGAGTTGGAAATGGAGTTGTATTATCAGGCAAGTGTTGGCAGCAGCAGCTGGCCACTCCTGAATTCTGCCTGAGATTTGTGTAACCTGTTTTGGCAAGGCACTTTAAAGGTGGTTAAAAGTGCAGGTAAGAAAGATGTAGTTATAGAGAAACAAGTGATTAAGAACTTGATAGTGTAAATTTAAGGAAATGGATAGATCTGAGAGATACTGATATTGAAGAAGTAGCTAGATTTGGCCAAAAGACAGTGATACGTTGAAGATGATTCTAGTACTCCATGACTGGGGAACATCTTCAATCAGTATTGGAGTGGCTGGTTGCTGGGCAGAGAGGGCTCTCTGGGATTCTTGAGCTTTTTTTTTTTGAGATGGAGTCTTGCTCTGTTTTTTAGGCTGGAGAGCTCTCAGGCTCATTATGCTCTCACCTCTCACCTTAGTGTAGAGAGAGAAAAACATCTGATACAGGTGATCATAGCTCACTGCAGCCTTGAGCTCTCAGGCTCAAGCCGTCCTCTCACCTCAGCCTCCTGAGAAGCTGGGACTACAGGTATGTGCCACCAATCCCAGCTAATTTTTTTTTGTTTTTATTGGTAGAGATGGTGTCTCACCACGTTGTCCAGGTTGTTCTCCAACTCCTAGGCTCAACTGGTCCTCCTATCTTGGCTTCCCAAAGTGCTGGGATTACGGCCAGATTTTCAGTTAGATTGGGGTTTGAAATATGCTGCTGCCATGTGCTAGCTGTGTGACTTCATCCAAATTAATCAACCTTTCTGATATTGTTCCCTCACTTGTAACATGAGGATAGCAACCAGTTTATATCCTTTAATATTAATAGCAACTAATCCCTTTAAAGGAGCTTCTAGTGTCACAATTTTTGGACAGGTATTATATTCATTACAACAAATACCTGAATGGCATCTGAAGGCCAGGACCTAAATGAAAGAATTCCTTCTCCAGTGGCTCTCATGGTGTTGACATGGTGTGGGTGAGATGGGATAAAATCCTAATATTAACAACAGAGACTATTCACAAGCCTTTTCTGTATGTGCTGGGTACTGTTGTTACGAGCTTAACACGCATTGTCTCATTTTATCCTCACACGAATAACCTCATAAGGTGGTCTCAATAGCCTCATTTTATCCAGAACGAAACTGAAGTACAGCGAAGTTAATGTGTCTAGGGTCACACAGTCAATGAGTGGCGGAATCCAGATTGGAAATCCCCCAATTTCAAAGGCACCTGCTCTCAACCACCAAGAGGAAAAGGGAGGAAACTGGCTCAATTAAACGCATTCTGTGATCCAGTACCTGTGTGCGACGCTTTAACTATAAGGCGAGGAAGAAATCCTTAGACTAAAGTTTCCCTTAGCCCCTTTTCCTTCAAG